CCTTGCACAGGAGCCATACTAATATTCTCTGCCAATTTTAGTATATGTGCTGCAAAGCAAGCACTACTCTTATTTTTTTTATTTTTTCCTTTTTAATCATTGTTCAAGTATTTTCTTACTTTTATCTTTTTAAACAATAAACATCTATAAAAATAATTTAGCTTCTACCCAATATGAACTCAATTGTGTACTTCTTTAGACAGTCGTGTATGTGTGCCTGTGTGTGTTTAAAAAATGTCTAGAAGGAAATGTACTGAAATGCTAATTGTATTTTTCTCAGAATTGTGGGACTATTGGTCATTTTTTGTTTGTATTTTACATCACTCTATTCTCCAGTTCTTTAAAAATAATAAGCATGTGTTATTTTATAATACTGCAAAGGTGCCCTGGCTGGTGTGACTCAGTGGATTGAGTGCTAGCCTGCAAACCAAAGGGTTGCTGGTTCGATTCCCAGTCAGGGCACATTCCTGGCTTGCAGGCCAGGTCCCCAGTAGGTGATATGCAACCTTACACTAATGCTTCTCTCCCTCTGTTTCTCCTTCCCTTCCCCTCCCCTCTGTCTAAAAATAAGTACATAAAATCTTTAAAAAAAAAAAAGTTGCCTGTGATCCAAGCACATAAAGGAATGTCACCTGCCTTTTAGCAATCTATCCAACATATAAACCAAGAGTTACACATACAAACACACACACACACACACACAGTTTTCGCATTCATCTGCTTTTACAGGTTCATTCTCTCTCATACACATCAGCTCCTATGACCTGCTCAAACACACTCATTCGCTCTCACTCATGCACACAGACATGCTCGCACACACTCAAATTCAAGGCCAGGGTAGAAAATGGAAAGGACACTGAAGTAACTGAAAAGTGCAACCAAAAGAAAGAGACAAAAAAGGTGCAGCCAAATGTCCCTAGGGACTTCTAATTCCTACCAACAGAGGTGGAGAATTAGAAACCAGGAGACCTTCTGAGCATCAACACTTCCTTCAGCAGCCTACTTATGCAAGTGCTGTACTGAAGAGCACAGACAATGTCTACAAGGTTCCTGAAGGGCATTCAGGCTTACATGGGGAGGGTTCTCTGGAAAAGATCAGTGACTATCAAAATAGAACTGTGTAACTGTGTAAGTGAGCGTAATAATACAACGTGAAGATAATTTTTACAATTAATTCTTTTGAAAAATAAAACCAAAATAAACCAATCATCCCTCACAATACTTACAATTTATTCTATAATTTTTACTTTACAACGAGTTAGTGGTGACTGCAAAAGCATCAGTCCTCTCAGTATGAAGGGGTCATGTTGATGAGGAATCTTCAGAAATGGTCGAGGCTGTTAAAAATAACCTATTCAAGTTCACAACTGGTGCCTGGGCACATCTGACTATCAATTACTGTTTCAACCAGAAAGCTCCACTGTAGTCCTCTTTCTCCTTTCCTCTGCAGATTCCTCTTAACACTTATGTTACACCACACCTGATCTACCACCGGGTGATGTAATGAGATCCAGACACACTGTGACATTGCTGAAGAGGAACACAAAGCCATCTGTATTATAAATGGGAGCTGCTTCTAATAAAACTTCAGATACAGAACTTAAATAATTTAAAATGCTTCCTTTATAAACAGATTACATAAAATACTGAACATGCTACCTTTGAAAATTTTGCAATTAAGATAATCTAGTTGATATTATCAAGGACAGTAATGTGACCAGCCTAACAGTCTCACACACTCAATATTCTGAAATCCCAAAGTGGAAAATACAAAAACTTAAGGTCTTTATTTCCGTTATCCAGCTTATCTGAACAGTTTCTAAGGTTTTAAAAAATTGTGAATACTTTAAAACGAATCCTTATCTTTCAGAGATATGAACTGACATATTTATGGATGAATAATGTCACATGTGTTTCAAAAATAATACGGGGTTGGGGGGTTTACAGGTGAACCAAAACTGCTGAAACTGAGCAATGGTGAAGGGGCAGAGAGGGAGTTCACTAGACTAGCCTTTTCTCTCTGCTTCTATGTATGTTCAAAACTGTTCTTTTTTTAAAAGATTTTATTTATTTATTTTTAGAGAGAGGGGAAGGGGAAGAAAAAGAGAAACATTGATGTGGGAGAAATAACATCGAGTAGTTACCTCTCATACAACTGAGGACCTAGCCAGCAATCCAGGGATGTGCCCTGACTGGGAATCGAACCAGTGACCTTTTGGTTTGCAAGCCGGCACTCAATCCACTGAGCTGCACCAGCCACAGCAAGACTTTTCATTTAAAAGTTTAAAAGTATTCATCGTGAGATAGAATTCTTCACTTTTTTTATATTACTTTACTATCAGAGAATATTTCCTTCATTTGCTCCTCTATAAAGTATTCTCTTTTTTTAAGATTTTATTTATTTTAGTTTTAGTGAGGGGGAAAGGAGGGAGAAAGAGGAGAGAAACTTTGCCTGGTTGCCTCTTGTACACCCCCAACTGGGGTGCATGGCCTGCTACCCAGGCATGTGCCCTGACTGGGAATAGAACCTGAGACCTTTTGGTTCACAGGCCAGCACTCAATCCACTGAGCCACACCAGCCAAGGCATCCTTTATAATGTATTCTGATAATGGACTTGGAAAAAGCAAGCCTAAATCATAATAAAGGATAGCTAATCTTACACCAACAAAAGTCAACCTTTCATTACCCTGTGAATTATCTGCTCCAAAACAGATCTCCTCCACCATCCCAGGAAGCTCACTCAAGTCTGGGTACTTAGATCAAGTCTAACACTGCTTCTTGAACAGCCTGGGAGAAGAGACAGAAGGGGCAATGCCACAGGTTCCTTACACTCACCCATCGCCACCAAACCGTGAGTCATACAAGCCTTACAACTAAATTAGAAATTCCACCAGGAGCTAACAGAGCAAAGAATTTTGACTCATTTCTACTTTATGATTATAAGAAAGTTCAGCCCCAAATAACAACCCAAAGTTTTCCCCATTGTGATCAATAAGGACAGTCTCAACAAAAGGTGTTTCTTCAGTGAAAAGGATTTTATGAAATTCAATAATATGAAACTTAGTGGGAATATTTTGAGCCACCAAATCTAAGAAGTTGAGCCCTGGCTGGTGTGGCTCAGTGCCACACCAGCCAGGGGTTCAATTCCCCACAGGGGCACATGCCTGGGTTTCGAGCCAGGTCCCCAGTTGGGGGCACACCTGAGACAACCACACACTGATATTGCCCTCCCTCTCTTTCTCCTTCCCTTCCCCTCTGTCTAAAAATAAATAAATAAAACTTAAAAAAAAAGAAGTTGAGAGCCACCTAAATGTTATTAGCCAAAAAACCTAGTTCTGGTCCCTGTTCTAGCACTGACAATTTAATTTTTGGGCGGTTGGGAAAGTTGTATAACCTTTCAGGGCTTCCATTTCTTACCTGTAAAGTGAGATGAAGCCTGCTTGCCTACTACTACCTCAGAGAAAGGTGGTGATGATCCAGTGAAAACATAGATCAGCCTCACATAAGCTGTAAAGTACTCTATCCGTGTCAGGTTATGATTAAAAAAACAAAACACACACACACACAAATGGGGTATTTTTAAAACATTTTTGGTGCAATGAAAAAGGGTATGTTTGGAGGGAAGACCCATCATACTAGTTAATAACAACCAACAATGCCCAAGGTGCTCTCCAGCCCAGGGGCAAGAAGGAAAAGCACCAAAGAACCTGGACCAATAATCACTATCCCTGCTAACCACAGAGGAAATTATATATTTCTATGCCCATTAGATTAAGACACGGGAGACCCATCTGAGCAATGTCTTCCAGCCCAGCGCTAAACACAAGTGCATGCTGATGGGAGCTGACTGGGGGCTGATGTGGGCACACACATCTTCCTGGGCTCAAGGAACATTGTGAATACTGGGGATGGGGGGCGGGGTATGGCACACACGTCCCTTATAAAGGTTCTTAGATACAACACCCTAAATACCAGGGTGTCAATTTTACCTCTTTTCTCAAAAATCTCTTGGCTTAAACATGCATCTCTACTTGAACACCCACTTAACAAATGTCTGCATGTGTTGAGAAGGCAATAAAATACAAAAACTAGATCAGCATTTTAGGGATTTCTTACTACTAAGCAAAATATTTAAAAGTGAAAACCAGTAACCTATTTCATGTTTACCCAGTTATTAGCAGAACACACACAGCCCTGCTGTTATCTCCACCAATTTTCATGAGTGCTGAGACGGAAGAGAAAGGCTGGACCTTGAGACCCACCCACTCCCAGAGCAGCTGCAGCCCCTGGACGCTGCGTGGGACCCACGTCACATTGTACTGTGCACTCCCATGGTCGGCTGTCTATGTCTCACCTCTCCTACAAGAGTGGAGGTGGCCCTGATGAAGTTCTGCTCAACTCTGTATTCACCATGAGGCTCTCAGGCTCATCCCCAGCCCTCCTCTCCTTCTCATCATTCCCTTTCCTTCTACACAGAAGGTACAAAAGTGAAATTTTTTAGTGCTCACTGTCTCCCAAACAATAAAAGATAAGTGTCCGTAGAACATATGCCAAAAAGGTGTCTATCATCATGATCTTAAGCAGCCAGGCAGAGCCTGGCTTTTGAGGTCTGAAGGAGTGAATTACTTCAGCCAATCCAGATCTGGGCCCTCCTCAGTTAGAGAGACTGCCAGGCACTTCATTCAGGGGGCACTTCTATCAGGCAGCTGTCACCGTGTCCCTACGCCAGGAGCTCGTGTGGCGCGGGAGACCGCGGGGCGGGGGCGGTTGCAGGGCAGTGAAAGAAACAAACTCTCTAGAGCAGCACCTCTTTAAAAGGAGAAAAAGGGGCGCATTGGTAAAATTGAACCAGGAGTGAGGGCAAAAATAAATAAAAAGAACAAACGGGCCCACTGGTCCTAACCATGCATTTCGCGAACACAGTGAACCGTGTCGGCCCGACGGAAGCGGACAGGGCCAGGCTCTCGTGCTAAGGGCCCAGGCGTGCTCGCCGAGTTACCTGCTCTGCTCCGTAAACCGTGGCGAACTGGACGAAGTCCTCCATGCGGACGAAGCCGTCCCCATCACCGTCCAGGGCATCGAACACGGCTCGGAGGCGGGGGCCGTCCTCCGCACAGCCCGTGGGCTCGCTCGTAAGGGAGCGGGTCTGGCTTAAGTCCGATGGCTGGTGCGCGTCCCCGGGACCCACCTCCAGCGTCAACTCCAGGGTCGGCGAAGGTAAGGAAGGAAAGAAGTCGACCTCACCCCTCCCGTGGTTGCTGTGGCTAAAATCCTGTGCGCAGAGAGAGGCGCTCTCCTGGCAACTTTGGGGCCCATAATCCTCTGGCTCTTTAGTCCAGAAAAAAAGCGGGCCGAGTTCTGTCAGCTGCTGATCAGGGTCTGGATCGGGGTCAGGGCAGTCGGCCTGAATCCGCGGCAGGTAAGAGGCCCCCGGAACCCGCTCGGCGCTCAAGTCGGCGGGGTCCAGCGGGCTGAGACCCGGACGCGGGGCAGGATCGGCGGACGTGGGGGGGACCACCGGCCAGTCGAGTCCGCCCGGCTCCGGGTCAGGGCACGGGCCGCCCGTGGGGGAAGCCGGTCGGCCCGGCTCCATCTTCATGGACGCGCCCCGGGCCGCAGCGCGGGCCCGCGAGGCCAGTGGTGCGGCGGGCAAAGCGGGCGGCAGACAAAGGCTCTCAGGGCGCGGCGGCGGGCGCGGGCATCCCCGCGGTGGCGCGGGCGTGCGCGCACGGGGCTCCCGGGCTGCTCAGGCTGGCTCTCGGGCCCTGCTCCGTCCTTGCCCATGTTGGCGCGGCCCCTCAGCTGCCCTCGGCCCAGCAGCGCGGCGGGCGACGGCCCATGGCGGTAGGCACGGGGAGGGCAAAGAGGAGGACAGGCGGCGGCGTGCGGCCCAGGGGCCAAGGAGAGCGACCGAGAGGACGCTGAGGAGGACGCAGAGTAGGGTGAAGAGAGAGGATGAAACGCCGGAGGTACCCTAGCGAACGCCGCCGCCCTTGCCCCGCCCTCTGTCCGGAGTTACGTATACACGCCGCGGCGCCCTCCAGCCCCGCCCCTCGCCGGCTTGCTACAAAAGGCGTGCGAGGGACGGTGGGACCAAGGGATACTGGGGCAGTGTGCGGTAACCTCAACGCAAGCAGTGTGGGTTCTTATTCTCTTGTTGACCGTACCCTGATTTGGACCCCGACCCTCAGACTCAGGAGGCTGCTGTCCTCGGAAACTGCAAAGGCATACGTGATGTCACTGCCGGGCATGCGGGGATAGCCGTCCCACGCACGGTGCGAATGAATAAACTGCGCTGAGAGGAGAACGAAAAACCCCTATGCGCACCTGTCCCAAAGGGTCTGAGTCCTGCCTGCGTAAAGCGCTGTCACAAATGGATAAACAAAGAACACCATCCTAGTGGGATGGGGTACTGCGCGTGGCACTGAGCACAACCCCCACGTGGCACCGCCTCCTGGCGCACGTGCGTTGCTGTGCCCGCCCCTCTCCTCCCACAGCCCGCGCCCCTCCGCAGATGCCCACAGCGCGAATAGGTCGCAGGCTTTACCTGCGGTGGCGCGCAGAGATTGGCAGAAGCAAGACTTGGACCGCGCTATCCCCGTACGAAGGTGGGAGAGCACTGAAAATGCTGTTTTATCTCACTTCTAACCGAAGGTACACGTGGTCGAACACTGAGATTTTTTTAAGCCTATGAAAAAGGTGTTTTTCACAGGATGTACAGTGTTGATCACCAGTCAGCAGCCAGGCCTCTCAAGCAAAGTGGCTGTCTTTGACAACTGGCATCTGTTTCTCTAGATGTCACTTTCATCAATGAGGACACGGGACGCCAGACAGGAACATGGGCACCCTGCTGCAAGCATGACAGTGGAGACATGCCAGTTAGGAACAGGTGAACTGCCGGCCCGAGGCGAGATTCTAAATTTAGCCTGTAATGAAATGAATCAAGGGAAAGTATGAACTGGTATTTTTATATGCCGTGGGCACCCAAACCAGATATGTTTCATAAGCAGCTTTGGCAAGAACCAAAGGAAACTGAACCTCTGTTTCCAAGTGTACAGTGAGGAGCAGTGTGTTAATTAAATGAGTCATCTCCCATGACAAAATCCCAGGGCATGTGGTACCGGATTTTGTGAGGTGGGCATTAGAAAAAGAAAAGCAAGGGATCCCCTTCCCCAAACTATATTCTCAAATTCTTTAAAGAGCTGTATGCTCTCATCAGGAAGATACTGTGTTCAGAAGAAAAAAAAAAAATCTCTGGTTTTGGCAAGAATTTGAAATGGGACTGTTGCCTTTGGCCAAAATTTTCAGAGGTAGTTATAGTGATGTGCTCACCTTTCTAAATAACCTTGTTAATGTGGGTGTGGTAAAGAGAAAAAACCCCGACAGGGCTGCATGGGAAGGAAGCAGACACTCCTCCCCTGCTGCTGGGCTCATGCCAGAAAATTCTGAATTCACTGGCTGACTGATATGCCAAAATGGAACAATGGCATTGTGAGTATGCACCCTCCTGTTTGGACCAATTTAACAGACTCTCTGTGAAACATTAAAAATTATCATTCTGGGTCAGTCATTAAAACCTCAAACATCCCCTTTGTGGCAGATGAACATTTTGGATGGGTAATGTCCCAGATGAAATGAACCAGCTCAGTAGAACCCCTGCTGCTATTTCTCCATGCCTACTGCTATGCAAGTTTTAATTCAACTAGGTATCAGGTACACAGAAGAGGAAGGGAGGATGGGGGCAGCTCACATCCAATGGTTTTTTAGTCTGGGTGACTGTGAAAACCCCCCTCTTTGAATGTTTTCTTTTCAAAGTCACTTGAGATAAACACTTATCTTTGGAACTCTCTAAGCAGCTGGGTCTCCTAATCCCTCTTCCCTGGTGACCTTGGCCTGTGGGAGAAAATAGGAAGGTAACTCAGCAGATTCCTAGCTGTGTGGCACAGCCCTGTTGGACCTGCCACGGCAGTAGAGAGAAAGTGGGTCAGGAAACCTTAATCGAAGTAGGGCCTCTCCATCATCTGGGTGAGACCTGGCTGCTGACAGAGGTAGGGGGAGGGGTACAGGCAAGCTCAGTTTGATCACAAATCTATTTTTTAACGTACATTTTTTATTTTATTTGTTTTCAGAGACAGGGAAAGGGAAGGAGAAAGAGAGGCACATACAATGTCTTAAACAACAGACATCGATGTGTGTGAGAGGAATATCAATTGGTTGCCTCTCACATGCCCCCACCTGGGGACCTGGCCCAGAACCCAGGCATGTGCCCTGACCAGGAATCAAACCGGCAACCTTTCAGTTCCCAGGCTGGAGCTCAATCCACTGAGCCACACCAGCCAGGGCTAAACGTACACTATTTAAAACCAGGAGGAAATACACCAAATTATAGTAAATATTACATAAGATTTCTACTCTGATGAACTTAAAATGCCATCTCATTTTCCCTCTTTTGAAAAACATTCTCACTCAAGGATGTGTTTTCACTCATTTTTAAGAGAAAGGAAGGGAGAGAGAGAAAGAGAAACATCAATATGAAAGAGAAACATTGATTAGCTGCCTTCTACACTAGCCAACTGGGGATGGAATCTGGAACCCAGATATGTACCCTGACCAGGAGTCAAACCCCGCAGTTCTTTGGTGTCTGGGATGATGCTCCAATCAAGTGAGCCACCCAGCCAGGATTCATTTTCTCTTACTCAAACTTCACTAAATGCTAATGTTTCTTAATGTATTTAACCAACTTGAATCTCACATCTGTGAATTGCCCAGTTGTATGCATGTTTATTTTTCTCTTGGATTCTCTGACTTTTTCTTTAGGTAAAATCCCTCATTAGTTTTTGATGTTGGAAATATCTTCTCCCTGCCTGTCACCCTTTTGTGAACTCTGTCTGTTGGAAAAAATCAGACAGAAATCTTTCATTTTGAGTAGTCAACCCATTAATTTTATCCTTATTGACTTTGCTAATCATAAAGAAAGGATAGACTTTTCATAGGTGGTGCCAGTTCTCTATTGAGAAATCTCAGAACTAGATCCTTATATCACATCAGATACAAAAATAATTGCAGAGTAATCAAAGCCATAAAGGTGGAAAGTAAAACTTTAACACTTTTAGACGACATTGGAAAATATACTTATGACCTTGGAGCAGGAAATTTCTTACACAATTATAAAAATCACAAACCATTAAAGAAAAGAATGATTCAAATTTAAATACATTAAAATTTGAGCCTTCCAAAAGTATAAGGACAAAAATCAGATCAGTGAGAGCTGGGGGAGAGGGGAATTTGCCTGAATGAAGAAACTGTTCTATGTCTTGATTGTAATGGTGGTTCCGTATTGTATGTGTTTGTCAAAACTCACAGAATTGTTCACTACAATGGGTAAATTTTACTGTGTGTAAATTACATTTTAGTAAATAACAGTATTTTTAAAAATTAGCCTCTGTTTGACCAAAGACATCATGAACTGCTGTCTTAGTCTGCTCATGCTGCTGTGACCAATTGCCATGCACCAGGTGGCCTAAACTACAGACGTGTATTTTTCACAATTCTGGAGGCTGAGAAGCGCACGATCATGATGGCAGCAAATTGACCCTGCATGGGTAGCTCAGTGACTTTAGGGCGTTGCCCCCATAGTCCAAGGTTGCAAATTCAATCCCCAGTCAAGGCACATCATACAACAAGCAACCACTGAATGCATAAATAAGGGGAGCAACAAACTCATGTTTCTCTTTCTCTCTCTCTCTCCCTCTTTTTCTAAAATCAATCAATAATTTTTTTTTAATGGCAACAAATTTGCTCCTTTTGAGAGCTCTCTTCTTGGATTGTGGTGAGGGCTTCTTTCTAGGTGTAGCCTCCCATGGATACCATCAAATTGAGGGTTAGGGAATTTTGGGGAGCACAATTCAGTCCATAGCAACTGTGAAGAGATTTAAGATTTTCTTTTTTACTTATTTATTTTTAGAGAGAGAGGTGAGATCAACTGCCTCTCACACACCTCTAATTGGGAACCTGGCCCACAACCCAGGCATGTGCCCTGAATGGGTATCAAACCAGCGTCCTTTTGGTTCACAGTCTGGCACTCAGTCCACTGAGCCACACAAGCCAGGGCACAACTGTGAAGAGATTTAGAACAGATTTAACTGACAAAGGATTTATTTCCAGAATACACAAAGATTCCTCAAAAATCAATAAAAGAACAGCCACCCAGTATAAAAATGGACAATGAATGTAAATAAGCAGTTCCAGAGGAGGAAACTCATATGGCCAATAAATATAAAAAAGATGCTGAACCCCATTGGTACTCAAGGAAATGAGTAAAGATAGCAATTGACACCAATCAGAGTAAAGCTTAAGTCTAATCCCAACAGAGTATAGGGATTCACATTACTAATATAGCACTTCCACTTCTATACCTTCCAATGCTCAGGCTCATGAAGAGACAGGAAGGGAATGTTCAGAGGCTCATGAGGACACAGGAAAAGAATGCTTTTGTAGCACTGGTTTTCTGTTGCTGGTGGAAATGGGGTCCTTGTGGTGTTGCAAAAAAGGCATTCTGGGGACCACACATGGGAGGATGGGGATACCACATATGAGGTATGGTGATAAGATTTATTGAAGCTGGAGCAAACACAAAAGACAGTCCCAGGTTCAGCTCCATCCCACTGTGGACAGAATCCAGCCTAGTCTTTATCAAGTCCAGAAGAAAGGCTAGGTTCCAGAAATTCTGTCCCATTGGTTCAGTCCATGTCAAAGCTTAGTCCAGTACAGCCTTTGTTCCTGTCCAGCTAGCATAGTCTCTGTTCCCAGCTACGTTCCTGTTGGCACTGTGTCATTGTATCCAGGCTCACACTTGGAACCCATGGTTGGAGCCTATGTAGCTGCTGAGCGACAGGAAGCAACTAGGCCCACCTGGCTGCTATGGTGAAAGAATGCACAAGCTCATGAATGCATGCCTGTTACGAGGGTGAGAGGTGGGGCTTGCCTTTGTTGAG